TATGCCCGGTGTGGTCGGTGCTATTGACGGGACGCACATAAAAATAATTGCGCCATCAAAAGATGAGGACGTGTTCGTCAATAGAAGGAAAGTACATTCCATCAACACGCAGATTGTTTTCATTCATCATGATAGGGGGACTTGAACGGCGGTATTGGGCTGTTATTGAATGTGTTTAAGTGCTGGAAATATGCTCATTGGATAATAGTTTGCAGGGTGCTTTTAATTGCCTCCTTGATTTAATGCAATTTACGTATTTTTATTGTTTGCTCTCTCTCTTTAACGTGCATATACAACGTCATTATCGTGGTCTGCACAAACTTGTCATCATGCATTTATTCTGCTAACTGCACTGTCCATAACTATTTGATAGGAATACATTTCTAGCCTAGGCTATTTCCTTGTTTTTCGGTGATTTAGTGGGCTCGTTTGTGGGATGTTGCGGATGAGTTTCACCGAGACCGCCTGCTCTGAACAACCAATCACCGTACTGACCGCTTCTAAACTCATGCACGAGAATCGACGTAATCCATAGCAACGGCGCGTCACTCTTAGTTCACTCTTAGTGATTTATCCTTAGTATGAGTAGGTCTCAGCGGGTTTGTGAATAACTTTTAAGAAAAAACTCCTACGTAAAATGTTTTAGCGCGAGTTAGGAGCACTCCTAGCGGTAAGATAAAATGCTTTGTGAATACGGCCCCTGGTTCGTAATCTCCGGCTGCGAAACAAAAATAAATTGGCAGATCGTTTGGAGCCTACAGTTTATATAGTTAACAGACGGATGGGAGACTTACCTGTTTACTCTGTGAAACCTGAAAGGGAGGAAGGAGCAAACCGGACATTAAACCGAGACCTTCTAATACCTTGTGGATTTCTTCCTGAAACTGAAAAAGAGGAAGAAAATACCAAAAGTAGTTCCAAGAAAGTATTCACTTCATTCACTCTGGTGTTCGATTTCATTTACCCATCCTTTAAGAACCTGGAATACTGGTCCAGTTTTCACACACCTGACGTATGTCGAAAATATTACAAAAAAAGTCATAGTAGCCTATAGTATTTCGAGAAAATCATAAAAAACGTCATATCTTTTGTCGAAAACAGGCGGGTATGTCGAAAATATAAATAACGTCATAGTAAAGTATGTCGAAAATATAAAAAACTTCATAGTATAGTATGTCAAAAATATCATCATAAACTTCATAGTATAGTATGTCCAAAATAAAAAAAAGACTTCAAAGTATAGTTCAACGAAAATATTACAAAAAAACATCATTATAGTATGTCGAAAATATAATTAAAAATGTCATATGTCAAAATATTAAAAATGTCCCAGTATAGTATTTAGAAAAAAAATCATAGTATTTAGAAAATATCACAAATTAAATAAAAACATAGTATACCAAGTCGGATATTTAAAAATAAAATAATATAGTATGTCAAAAAATGCTGTTGAGAAAAACATTGTATCGTATTTTCAACAATGTGTGAAAAATTCATAGCATAGTAAAGATGCATAGGCTGCGGAGACGTTGTGACAACATATTCATGTGTTAATAGGATGGATATCATAAAAAGTATTATTATTCGATCCAACATATCCTCTCCTTTAAAGGCTCCTCAGTAAAAACATTATTAATCATAATTACTCGTCTCCCTCTTTCCAGCCTATCGGCTCTCTCAGCTCTCTCTGTTTGTGTTTGATTCGGCCAATGAGGTTCCTTGAAAGTGATCCTCCCCAGTAGAGCCAGTCATGGTTGACCACTCTGACTCCCTAACAGCAGCAAAGCAGCCACATCTGGCGAGCGCTCCTCACATCTGGTTTGTGTATCAGCTCCTCGAGGTCCACAGTCTGATGGCGTTCCCTCGGAGACGAGATGGAGAGGAGCTGGGATGTTCAGGGGTCAGGGAGAGACAGCAAATGTCCCTCACTGACGGAGCAAGCAGTCTGTTTTATTGGAGGAACTTTCGATCGTTCTCTGAAGTATGATATTTTGCAGCAGTGTCTAGAAAAAAGAGGTGCAAGGTCAAAGCTAGGATTTAATCTACCAAGAAAACATAACAATTTGAAGGCATTGGGTCTTTTCTTTTTGCTTTTCTTTTTCATGAAAAACATACTGTAGCAGCTTTGTTATCCATTCAGTGCAATATAAAACATGCAGATGTGTGACTGTGTGACATTTTTTTACGACCCCCTTCAAAAAAACTAAATCTGCCTACAGTATAAATATCACATACATTTTTCAAATAAATATATAAATTATAATAACAATAATGATAAGTTACAAATAATAATACAAAATTAAAAAATGTATTAAAATATGTTTGATATATAATAATACTTAATAAATATCAGTACACAATAATGATTAATGAACAAAAATAAACGTAAAAAATATATATTTTCAAACATACATGCGTAATTGATTTTAACTTAAACTAAATGCACATAAGTAGGTAGAGGTACATTTTACTAACAGTTTTATGTTCCTAATCTATATTCTTATTCAGTTTAAAATAGTAACAGTCATGAAGAGTAGTACAGTTTTAGCAGATATGTTAGAAAGCCAGACAGACCCACATCACAGGTTATGTCACTTACAGGACATGGGGGGGGGGGAGAGCCTGTGGGTCTTTGATGTGAGCTAACACTATAAGATATAAACGTACAGTATTTTTACTTTAATGTTTAATGCACATCTTGTGACATCTTTGTCCTTCCTTGTACTCCTTCTTATAGTGTAAGATTTTGCACATTTTGTGCACGTCTGCACATTGTTCCCTCTTTATAACTGTGCTGCTATTCCACTTTTAAATGAAAATATATTCTGCACATATTTTTCACAGTTAATGACCAGATTATTATTTTAATTCCTTTTTGTATGTTATATTTTTATAAAAAGTTTTATATTTTGTTTGACAATAGCTTTTTATAATTTGTCTTCATTTTACATCTTATTTTCTCTTACCATGTTTTTGTATGCGCTCCTAAATCAAATTAATTGTTTGTGTTAACCTTATTTGGTTATCAAACAGTTAAGCAATGAGAGTAAATATAATTGAGTTTTGATTGAGTGTCAAAAAATGGGACATTTCAAACTTAAATATTAAGATAAATTACCGAATTGGTATGAAGGTAAACGTGTGTTATGCTAAGACAAAAAGCAGAAGTGAACTAAAGGAGTTTGCTCCTCATCCGAGGGAATTTACCCTGTTTCAATATTCATGTGACGTAACGTCGCCCTCTTGCGTCTGACATGTGTCCTGCACTTAAAGAAGTGAAGAAGCCTGTGTGTATTGTAATGGACATATTGTATATTGTAGTACAATGTGCACATTTTTACCTTTACTTCTTAAACTTCTATAAATAATTGTATTATATTTTAGAAATGTTTTATTGGACATTTTACTTATTATGTTTATGTAAATGCTTTTTATTTTATTTATATTTCACTTGATGTATTTCTTTACCTTCTTATGTTTTCATAAATGCTTGTATTTATTTTATTGTTTTATTTAAAAGGCTCCTTTAACTTATTATTATTGTTTTTTTATTTGTATTTTTTTAAATTATGTTTTGTTTATAATGTTGATTTAACTTCTTATGTTTATATAAATATTTAAATTCCAATTCATTTAATATTTTATTCGACAGTTTACTTTATCTTCTTAGGTTTATATACATATTTTTACTTTATTTGATCTTTTTATTGCACATACTTACACATTAGAGCAATTCAACAGAGGAAAAACGAAGTCTTCTGATTCTGATATGGATATCTGTTTTTAATGGAATAAAGTGGCAATTGTCTAATACAACCTCATGTCATTATTTAGAAAGAAATGCAGCTTTTAAACAGTTGCCATACAAAAATGGTGATTCTGAAAACAAAAGATGACAAGGTGATGCTTTCATCCCAAATTCAAATGAATTGAAAGCCCCGTGAGCTTACATACATATAAACTCAGTAGTATCATCAATCACAGCAACATGAAACAAAAAATAAAATGTGAGAATCAGATTGATTTAATATATCTTTTTATTTCCAATAATCATTGTTCATTATAAAATGTTGACACTTGTTTTTTTAAGAATTGGCAACATAATAAGACTGTTGTGAAATGGTTTTATCACAACATAAACTTTAAAAGCCACACAAACATCCATGCATCTCACCACACTCTGAACCTACTGATCTCAGTCACACGCTGCTCTACCCTGCATTTACAGGAGGCATTTGAATGCACCATGCGCTCCTTCTTAAGGCAAACAGCAACGTGATGATAAGATGCGTTTCCCCTGGCATTTTATTTGGTGTCACAGCAAAAATGTATTTGGACCTGGATTATACAGCACAATACATTCTTCTTCCAGTTGATTGACATTCAAGTTTTTCTCATTTTTAACGCAATTTAATTCCAAGAAAATAACACTTTGGTTGACAACAATTTCAAAGACGTTTGTTTCTACATGACAAAGGAGTAGTGGTTTTAGATTAAAACCTGGACTAATAAAGAATAGTCACCAGGAATTATAAAGACTCAAATAAATTAAACTTAATGGTACAGTCAAATAAGAAGCCAGAGACCAGGTATACAAAACCTTAATTTCTAATAAAAAAGTAGTAAATTAAATTCCAATATCAGAAACCGTTCTCTCGTGAGCTTTAGAGAGGTCAGAAGTGATGGAGCTCTGGAGATGGAGGTCCCGAGGAAGAAGGAAACTAAAGGGTGGAGGATTGTTGATCAGAAAATAAACCAGGCCTTTTTAGGGTGATAACAAATCTTCACTGTCTGTTTTTAGGTATTTTTAGGGACTCCACCAATGTTTGCAAGATAAATATTAAACAAAAAATGTAAAATGGGTTGGGGGCTGCAATGAAAGGAAGGCCATCATGCAGGGCCAGATTTGCCTTTAATGGCTGGGCTATGTTACTTTTGTATTTCCAGCAAAGAAAGCCTACATACCGTACGTTGTATTCACAATTTTAGTTTTAAGACTCTTGTGGTAAAGTTCAATTGTTTGAAAATATCCAAGCACTTTGTACATAACATGCTGGTAATATCAAGTGTTCCATCATGAGGAATATCAGTGATGTACCGCACCATTTCAAAACATTATTGTGGGATATTAAAGCTCCGAAAGGCGGTAAGTAAGGAGGAAACAAGAAAAGCAACATAAAGAACATTGGGAAAAAAACGATATGGGGAAGACAGTGGTCCGATACATTTTGAATATATTTTTCAAACCAGTTTTGATCTTTTAAGACTGTTATTTTTTGGGACTAAGTAAAAAGGTGAGATATGAATCAACCAATTGTATTAGGTAAAGCCAAATATTTTAGCTCACTTTTTACAATCAGGATAATGCATGAATTACCCGACTATGATCATTTAAAAAAACAAATATGATTATCATTCCAGCTTTCGTATGTTCATGACACAAAGTAAAACGATGACAGAGTGGTGCAGTGATGACGTAGGCCGACCCGGAAGTTAGCATCGCAAAGGGCTCCCTCCACAAAAAGCAATGGGATTTTTCCACTTGCTTTAAGATCTGTGGCAAACACATGTAACTGATAACTACACATTTTGTTCAGCAGGATAATCTCCAGATACTAACACCACTTAATGATTTGTTTTTTAAGTGGACCGACATACGTAAATAGCTAATGTTAGGCTTCAAAGATTACTTAATGTCACCGCCACTAAGCTAAAGGCGGCTAATGTTCGCCATGATGATGTTTAGTAGTCTCATTTAGCCTCATGTTAGACAAATAGAAGCTCCAGAAAATCCCCAGTGGACTACTTACTGAGGTGTTTTCTATCGTAGATCACATTTAAAACATCTCTTCAGCTTGTACTACCCGTTGACTTTAAGGAAACAGCAAGTGCTAAAATGCGAACTCATTAACGGACTCATTCCTGCACCACTCTACAGTGTCGCAAATATGCTGCTTTTTTAAATTTGTTATCAAGATCTAAGATTTTTTTTTTTTAAAAACATATTCAAATATAATGTTGCCCAAATCTGGAAGAGCATGTTCAGACTTAAAGAGAACAGGAAGCTATTATTTTCTAAGCTCTCTCTGTGTGTGTGTGTGTGTGTGTGTGTGTGTGTGTGTGTGTGTGTGTGTGTGTGTGTGTGTGTGTGTGTGTGTGTGTGTGTGTGTGTGTGTGGCTTCTAGGCGGTCTTCTTGCAGACGTGGATGAAGTAGCAGGGGGCCTGGGCCTGGGCAGGGACGTATGTCTTGAAGTCTCCGTAGACGCTGTGCTCCATTTTGCCGTGGAACGCCTCCTTCAGTAACCCAGTGAAGCTCTCCAGACAGTGAGGGTAGTAGGAGAGACGGAATTTACTGCGGAGGGAAAACAATAGAACGTTAGAATTCCTGCTAACTATCTTCACTTTTATTGTGTCTAACATGTCTGGTGACCTTGGCTATTCAATTCAATCAAATATGAAAATACTCATATGTATATTCAGTGGCTCTGAATGAATCTGTAGTACGTCAACATCCTTGGTGATTCTTATCCTGTTTTATGCTGCCATGTCCGTATTTGGTCAAGTAAAAATCCCACTGCGATTATCTTTCATATCTTTTTTTTTTGCAAGGTTTTTGTTATCTTCCCACTTTTTTTTTGGAAGCCGTGACAGAAATTAAAATTGAATGTTTTGTAAGCATTGTGGGCGCAAATGCACTTTTGCTACCCCAGCTCTGTTTTTATTATTTATTTCATTCATTAGATCACTTACTTGATTCTCCAGAGAATGAATTATATTGAGATATTGAAAAATGATATATACCACAACTTAAATTAACCACATACTAGGGCTGGGCAATGTATTCTTCATATGCTGTCAATTTTGTGATACGACAGTAGATATGGTGTTATATTTGGGACATTGTCTAATCCTAATATGGCACAAGTATTTTTCCTTTCTTGAATGCTGCATTATAGTAAAATGATTTAGTTATTATCAGTGCTTGAATTGAGCCGGTAGCCTACTCACCGGTACGCAGTACCGGGACTTCTGATTTTTACCCATCTGGTAACGTTACTTCTTACTGAGTACCGGCACGGTGGTACTCAGTACTCAGTAGATGTGTCATGAGGTGCCGCCGCTGGAGCAGCAGTCTTCGTCGCCCCAAACACTGCCACCCCTCGGCGGCCCGCAAGTGCCAGAGGACCTCGGCAAAATGGACCCTGCCCAGGTATATTTAAACAAGTTCCCAACTCGCCTGTACAGTGGGGTAAGGCGCTCATTTTGCACCTCATGGTTTCAAAACAGAGATTGGCTGGAATTTCCTGTAAAAAAGATGCCATCTTCTGCTATGCATGTAGACATTTCGGTTCCAATACATCTAACTCAGATACCTTCACCACAATTGTACCAGAGTACCAAACGCTGTCTCCTGGTACTGATCTGAGTAACTCACTAAAACTAAAATACTATATGACAGTAAAACAAGAATACAGTTTGAAAGGTGAGTGATTTGTAAAATATCCATAAAGAAATTGAAAATCTGTTTACAGTTCTGTTTCATATGAGTGTTGAGAGATGTATCCATAGATCTTTTAATGTTGCTCTCAAAGTGCACCAGATTGATGCATTTAACTTCAATATTAAAAAAAAAAATCTTATGTTAGATCCACTCCCCACTTTACCCCTGCACCCCCTCTAATCTCAGATGCACCCTGAGTCATTTTGTTTAAGTACAGTAAGCCTTTCTAAAATATACAGTAAAGAGACAAACCCACCAGCATTATAGGATATACTATGACTTTGAGCCAAATTCTCGTTTTTGGGCTGTACAAATAAATTGTCTTGAAACAGTTGTTGATTTAGAGTACTGGCACCTTTTTTATTCCAATTCAAGCACTGGTTATTATCAGTCTTTACCCACTAAGTCATGATATGAACATTACTAATAAATATTTTTTCAAAATTCTTATAGTTTAAATATTTTATGAAACAACAAAAGTAAAATGTAAAATATCGTTGCAATATCATTATTGAAGTATTTGGCTAAAAATATGATAATATTTGATTAAATACATTTGACCCAGATACCTGAGGCTTTTTGTCCCGTATTGTCCCGCCCCTAGGGGTGGGCGTGGCTTTTGTAAATACAGTGTTCTGTGAGTGGACGTACCTGACTTCAGGTAGATTTTGCAGAGCGGCCTTGGGCACATGGATGGTGTAGTCCAGAGTGATCATATGGGGCTTATTGTTGACCCACAGCACAGAGGTAGAGATGTCCTGAGTGAGATCACTCTGCAACACAAACAGACACAATGATGAGACACGTGTAAGGCACCAAGAACCAGTAGGACTGACTATAGGAGCAGACTGGGATTACAGAGGATCAGAAGATCAGGAGTGGATCTTTCTCCAGCACATGACTGTTGACTTAGTTTCTACTTAGGCCTTCCAGCTGGTTACTTCATTCTTTGTTTGGATTAAGGAATACGGAACTTGTTTTGTGGGTAATAAATAAAACAAGGCTCCTTTCTGTTGGTTCCCGCTGTTGTGTCTTTATGATTGCATATTAGATCTATTATAAATGTATCTATATCTTGCATTATAGCAACACGTCATTTTAAACCACATATGAAAGCACAATTTTGTCATCATCCCAAATACATTTTTACTCTCAGTACTCCTGGCATGATCTGTTTGTCTCCCTATTGGCAACAAAAAGTCGTAAACCTGACAGTTTCATCCACATTTCCTTCTGTTTCTCTGGGGCCACTTTCGATGAAAATCTGACGATATCCGGCAGGCTCTGGGTAGAGATTTAGGTCTTAAACTCAGCTGCTGCTCGGGCTAGATGTAAATAAAACATTCCTAAACAATATGAGTCTTTCCAATCCTCTGCAAGAAGGACAGTCTATTTCTAATATAAGTAAATACAACTAGAACAGCATGGTGAAAATTGTTGAGAGAAAACGGTTTTGGCAACAGTCATTAGTAGATGTTGAGGAATCAGAACAACCTCACAGACACACACAAAAACAAAGGTCAACGGCATTTTTTAAACTTAAACACGTAAATGAACCAGTTCTTTACGTAATATGCAGTAAACTGAAAGTAACACATGCCCTTGCACTTTTCTTCAGTTTCAGTTCCTCCATGCTAACACACACCTGAGGAAGATGTAGTCACACAGATAAAATCTCTGAAACACATGGGACCCCACCAAATGATTTTCATTTGGAGCTTGGATACACAGGTTGTGTGATCTCCATCTGGCTTCCCATCAACATAAGAATCCTCAGTTTGATGAGTAATGCGACAGAAGTACAGACACCTGAGCCCTCAGTGATCAAACTGAATAGAACCAGTTCAGTGAAGAAGAGGTTTCATGCTAAGAAGAAGGTGGCAGTTCAGACCAGAACAGGAAATGAGAAAGCGCATGAATGAACATGAAGAGTCGATAATCCACATACCAACTGTGATCTCCAACACACAATAAGAAGGGGCCTGCCTCACAGAACAGATATGTTTCCATTTGAATCTACAAATAGTGCTTAGTGCAAATAGTCCCATTTCACTGGACTTTAAAGAAGGTAAAGGTTCAAATGGAAGGATGGTAAATGGTTGATTGATTGCAGGTGTGTTGGGTTAGTGGCCTTGGTGTCAAATTCAGAACTGAACTGCCACTACTGGATGGGTGAGGAAATGAATCGTCTTCATGTTAATTTGCATCCCTCTAATAAACCTTTCCTCACTACATGAAGCCTGTAAATGCCTTTAATTTGTACCACTATGTTCACTTTGTCATTTATCAGTGTTTATTATACCTTACCTTTTTTTAATACCAATTTTTACACTGAGGAATTTAATGTTTTGGGACCATTTATAAATTATGGTTAGATTAGTTTTCAGGGCATTTGGTTAGACTGATAATGTGTCAGTATAATATATTGTAAACACTTTTTGTTTAGTGTGTCGGGACCCCCTTTTAAAGCGTCCGATAGCTTATTGGTTTGGTTTCATTTCACATATCTCCATTATATATATTGTGATTGTACTTTTAAGTTTAGTACCTTATAGTAGATATTTTTGCCTTGTGGCGCCTGGCCGGTCTCCAGGATGTAGTCGTAGTTACGGTGGTCAATGATGAGGATCCCACCAGGTCTCACCATACTGGCAATGTTCTGAAGGGCCAACCTTTGGTCACTCTGGTCCCCTGAGAGCAATAAACATTGGATGATCATTGGAATTCAACTCAAAGCTAGACCTTTCTTGGTAGGAGATGGTCTGTAATCCATATATCATTGGTTACTTTTGTAATCCCAAATCCAGGGAAAATGTTAAATCAATGTGAAAGTTCTTTGGAAAAAAAGATCTTTGAAGTAATATCTTTCTTCCTTTAACTTTAACGTACCTTTAAAATCTGGTAAATGGGCGAATGAGTTGCCGAGGCAGATGACAGCATCAAAGCCAGGGCCTGGTTTTGGAAGATCCTCTGATAACGTCAACCAATTGGCCTCTTCAATCACTGAGGGAAAACAACGTCCGTAAAGTAAGACATAAAGAAAACATGAAGACATCACCTGATAAAATAAGAAATAATGCTCAAATGAGAACTGGCGTACCCCACTGGTCAAAAGCTTGTTCTTTTCTTCTCTCCCATCGTGACTTCAGTGCGTACTTGAGCATTTTGTCGCTGGCATCCACGCTCGTCATGTTAAATCCCTCCTCCACCAACATGATGGAGTCAACTCTACAAAACACAACACATTTGCTCTGTAAATATACAAGTTCTGTACTGAACAAAAGCATAGCTCACACTCTTTGCTGTTGACACTGTATTGTAGTACAGAAAGTGTTTTCTTTATTGACTTCATCATGTGTCAGGAGGGAAATGTTGTAAGTAGTGAGGTTCCTTGTGCTCCAAGACAAAAAAGAATCTAGTTCCTTTTCTTCAAAAAAGCAATGCAGTTTATAGATGCATTTCTTAATACGCATTCATGATTTACAGGCATGAAGAGATACATTATATTTGACAGCCAGTAGCTCTTTATGCTTCGGGCAGATCCAAGTCTGGCTTTAGCCTGTTGAATTTAGTTTGCACTCTCCTTGCACTGAAGTCTCTTTGGGAATAACAAATCTTTCCCAAAAAATGTAATGTTGAACAATATGCAAGAGCTACGGAAAAATGCAACTCCAAGAATCCAAATGAATGTGTATTCTAAGTTAAAAAGCAACACAGGAGCAGATTCAACAGGAACCAACAGGAAAAACAAATCCCAAATGGATCAAATCAAGGTATTTAATCTGCAATTTATGATTATTATTTTCCAATTTCAAAGCATGATCTGCAGCTTCTGCTGCGCTTGTATAAGTTGTTGCTAAAAATAACTGCAGAACAACTGGAGAGCACATTTAGACAGCCAAAAATAGTGAGGCCAGTTGTAAACTCATTCCACTGTGAGCGTGTTTACGTCGCCTCACATGGTGGTGCTTGAGTGGAACTACTATACAAATTGTCAGAGCCTGTGGGCCGTTATACTGGGTACCTGCAGCCTTATGTCAAATATGAATTAAGAAGTATCCGGATAAAACATTTCTAGTGTCTAGTGTAAAATCCTGGTGTACATGACATTACATGTTGTATCTCTTGAACAACTTCTCTCAGACAAATTGAGGTTGAGATAGGTTAAAGTATGTTGTCCTCCTGTTTGTGTTCAGCCAATGGCCTTGCTGTGGTTCCAGGGCGTAGATACACTATCAGCAGAGGTAAACAGACTGCACAGAACCAGTCAAAACTCCTTGCAACAACATAGAACCAGGTCAAAGGCCACTGAACCCTGCATCTGCTATCTCACAGCCCTGGTTAGAATGTGCTTTGAATGAGGGTAACTGGTGTAAATGTGCAGTAGAAAGCAGATCATATTTAGAGATATGCTCAACTAAACTTTGTTAGACCATATAATCCGTCTTAGTTGTATTGTTAAAGTTATTTTAGCCAGTATGGGTCAGCTCATGGTCTCAGCTCCGGACAGCTGGCACAGTGTCTGGTGCAACTCTGCACTTTCATTCATTACTCTCCGGCCTAATCCGGTTATTGTCCAGAGTTAAAAGAGTCAGCGGGTCCAAATTCCAGAGAAGCTGGGCGATTTGGTTTATATCAAATAATAGTAATTTTGATCAAGCACCTTGATATCAATATTGCGACATATTGTAGGGTTGGGGTATACATGAAATGTTTACAAAATGAGATTTTTGATAAATAAACATCAGCATTCTGGATATCATGACTAAGTAGGCAAAGACAGATCGTAAAAAGTGTGAAATTGCTTAAATGTTACTATAATGTAGCCTTTACAGCAAGGAAAAGACAACACTTAGGCCATAATACGATATGCAAAATCTAATTCGATACGTACTCTAATATCATGATCATAAAATACTGATATGTTGCCCAGTCCTAATATATGCTGTACTTTTATGTTTTATATTTTAATGTTTTGACATCTGTCTATTCAGATAAACTTACAGATGTATTGTAGAACATAGGGCATTTATAATACTTTTACAGTAGGAATGATCTTTTCTCAAATAAACTACTTTACACAGGTTTACGTGTTCTTATATGTGTCTATGTCACTCAGAACAAGAACGTTAAAGGTCTTTAAAAAACAACAACATAGAAAATCCGTACACGTGGCCATAATAACCATTTTACAAAATTGGAATGATCACTCAGTCCCACCCATTCACAAACATGGGAGGTTTTTGTTACAGCCCAATTGTTATCAGCACGTTGTAATGACTGCCATATGACTAATACTTACATTACTGGGTGCAGCCTACAATTCGGCCAACGAAAAAATTAAAAGAAATCTGCACATCGTTTGACATTGCAAGTTTTCAATATATATCACTTTTTGTACCACGGTTACTATTGCTGTATCTGGATACAAATGACAACAAGTGACATTTCTTTTTAATTTTGTTGACTTGATGTATAGAATTAATGCCGAATTAAAGGTTGGGTTGAGCAACTATGGAAACTGTGTAAAAGTTTTGACTCGGGTGTTACTTTTCCAAATTTCGAAGGATATGCATACAAAAAAACAATTTTTTAATGAAGTTTGGTGGGACACTCGTGACCAATGCAAAGCTTGTGCCTGACATTACCCTGTTCCGCAGGCTACATCCAGCACTTTCTTCACCCCTTGCTCTTTTAGCAAAGCGACCACCCAGCTTTTGTATTCCTGCGTCCTACTCTGCGTGTCTCCGATGTACAGCTCCCAGACTTTGGCTGCCTTGCCGTCGGCATACTGGTCAGGAAGACCTTCGGCGGCCACACCGAGAGAGCGGGTCCTGAACACGCTGTCCACCGACATGCTGCTGCTTTCTCCGGTGTTTCCGCTTAGATAACTCGGCAAACGAATGAGGTATTCAGGAACCTGACTGCTTTAAGTGCTATAGGAAAACGTGCTACTTGTCCCACAGGTTCTCGTTCCACATGCTAGCACAGCTCCCGGTTGTTATTATTTATATATAACAAGGGAGGGGCAAACTTCAACCCAATGGTACTATGCTATGCATTTACGCCTACTTTCTGATAGGGCGAAGGAAGGGGAGATGCTTCCCATTTCCGTGTTTACGTTAGCAGACGTCCCGAAATAGCCTCCTATGATCATTTAAAGATTGTGCTGCATTAAAAGCAACTTTCAATGGCGAAAATGAGAAACTATAGATAATGGACTTGAAGGTTAGGATTATATTTGAAGCAGGGGCGGATCTAGAAAAATATTCATGGGGTGGCAAGAGGGTGGCAGGAGATTTGTTGGGGTGGCATCCCTTGGCAGAAGTATGCTGATTTAATCGCAGTCATATCATCAATGTTAACTCGGAAAGCCACAATATTGATATTTTAACTAAATAACATTAGGTGACATTATTGTGGCACAACAGTAAATCCTTAAATATAAATATAGGGTGGCAGACATCATTTAATGAATTTTAAATGAACAATAACTGAATGAGTTTGTTTCACTCTTAGATCAGCAGGGGTACCAAATATATACAGACTGCTGCAATAAGTACATTAATGAACTGTTTCATAGAATCGATGTTTGTCTGAATTAATATGATAATATTAACAATCATATTATTCCTATCAGCTGTCAATCACTGTTATGATTCACATATTCAGTGTTATTATTAAATAAACTATATTTTTTGGATGAGTTAATGACGAATGTTCCTCAAGATGCTTGCTCACCCTGCTTCAAATTTGAAAGACAAGTAATTACGATTATATATCAAAATTCAAAATAATCAAAAGAACAGTTAGCACCCCACAACTTTATTGCAAACAGCTACAACTTTGACTTTACATCAGAGAGAATAAATATTAACCCTTAGATGAGGAGTGCCCAACCTTTTTTGAACCGAGAGCTACTTTTAAAGTTGCCAGTCTGCCAAGATCTACCAGTCCAAATAGAGAGGCGTAGCCATTAATGACAGCCTAAATACACACTTCTACTTGTATAAAACTGACCTTTGTACAATTAATACTTCATAAAATACCACAGATCCTTTATCTTACCTCTTTCTAATCTACACACGTATTTAACTGAAGTTACACAACAGTGTTGTTGATATAGAGTTGGAGTTTATTCACACGTCACATACTACAGTGGGTAATGTTTTCAAGAAACATTGAACAGTGCTGCCACATATGACACAGGGAAAAAAGAAAAGACTGAACCCTTTCTTTGCCATTATATAAAAATAGTGTTGCTACAAAAGTATAATTTAGGCTTACTAATAAGACAACTCAGATCCGAAGCTACACAATAATCTGCTGCCAAAGTGCAATAAAAAAGACAACATTAATAGAATCAAATTTTTTTTGTTGCATTTTAGTAGAGTATAAAAAGAAATGCCTTTAAAATAGGTTGCAAGCAACACTAGTTTCTTAACCCGAATTGATAATAGACTATAATCAATTTAAACAGAACAGATCTTAATGTTTGAATTCTTATACGATTTTGTACAATAATTATAATGAATAATTTCAAAAAAACTAAAACTTACAGCTGCTTAATAAAGGTATCCAACTTGAGTTTTTATTATATCAAAAACCTGTTGAAATGCTGTTATTTTTACTGTCCCCCAAAAGCCCGTCGGCAGCCTCCAGGAATGCTTCTTTCACAACTTCGCCGTCTTTGAAAGACTTCATGTGTTTCGCAAGAACGTGATAAGATGCTATGGTAGCAGCCTTGCTCTTGTTGTTGGGCCTGGTGAAAATGAACTGCTGTGCATTTAGCTGTCCTTTCAGGTCCCTCCCCTTTTGGGAGCGTAGGGCAGAATTAGGAGGGAATTCCGTATCGTAGCGTTTGTGCACTGTTTTGAAATGCCGCTCCTTATTACCCTTCTTCGATAAAGCCACGCTCGCACTGCAGATGAGACAGATGGACTTTGAATTGGAATAGATAACAAAATAATCATCCACCCACTCGGAGTAAAAATTATATATTTTGGGCTTTTTTGCTCCTGCAATACTGTAATCGCGGTCTTGTGTGTGTGCGGACTTTCACTCCCGTTGACACGGACAACTTCAGC